CAGTTGTCCAAGTCAGGTGAGGTTCAGCCCAAGAGAAGAAGGTTGATTGATGGCAGATGGTGGGGTACAGGCTAGTGAGTAGGGGAGCAGGTCCACAAGTCCAGACGGAATAAGCTACTAGGTTCTGAAGATTGTCAGGTACTAGAGAGACTCTATGTGGGACTTCCCTAGAAACCAGAGGAATACTCATGCCCCCTCTCCATCCCCTCCTGACCACCAGCCCAAGGTGCTCCAGGCAGCAAGTTTCAGCAACCCCTTCAATTCTGCCTCCTGTTTGTCTTGGTGCTCTAAGCAAGCTGGATGCCAGCTCACAGAGATCCAGTCAGCTGCAGCCTGCCCTGAGCTGGGTCCTGAAAGGCTCAGCCTCCCTTCCAAAAGCAAACCCTAGCACTCAACCAGGGGTCTAGGCCCGCTGTCCCCAACCCCCAAGACTTTGAGGAAGACCAATCGGGAGAGACATGGGGAGGTGGGTGTTGGACTTGGGGCACAGATCTTGTGATGACTCATGAGCCACCGGAGGGGAGAAAGGGGCTGGAGGATGAATGGATTGCAAACCAGAGGGAGGGGCCGAGGAGATGAGCTTTGGTGCCTTGATTCGCCCGCGTCAGTTTCTACAACATCTGCAGTGCGTGGGGTTGAGCCGTCCCACTGGGGGGCCTGGGGGGGGGCAGGACTGGGAGGCTGGCTGACGTTTGCTTCCCGCCTGCTGGGTCGGCAGCCTGAGCCGTTCATGAATGACTCACCTCATTGTCAGGCTGATTCACTGCTCGCCTGGGGACTTGCGGTGGGTGAGGGAGCAGCAGCAGCCCCCTCTATACGTCTCACACGTGCTCACGTGCGGGAGGGGCTCCAGCCAGTCTAGTTCCCTGCTAGGGTCCGGACGGGATGGATGGGTTTCTGTGATGAGAGAGGAAGATGCACACCACTTGTGTGCGTGTTTGAGGTTTCTGTCTATAGTCTACCTGTGGCTATTTACATTTCAATTAATTCAAGTCAAGACCAGTTAAAACTTCAGTTTCTCACTAACCACGTTTCAAGTACTCAATAGCCAACTCAATAACCAGTGGCTAGTGGGTACTCTGCTGGACGGTGTGGAAAGGTCTTTGCAACAGTGCTGGTCTATACAGCCTTCACACACACGGTCAAACAGGCAGACCAGCCCTTCCCCCACCCTCAAACACTCAGATCCCCACCCTTGTATGCAGCTCACAACACACGCTTAATTCCACACACACTCCACAAACTCATTTAACAAGCGACACCCACCCTCCAATACAACTACACAAGACTCTCAGTGTGTGTACACACTTCCAGCGGATGGCACTGTCCATACTAAGACAAATGTAGACACATAAACACGCATCATCACCCTGAATCGCATACAACTGTTCATATGATAAAAATACAAATTAGGACGAAATGCATTTGCAAATATGCTGAAGTAGATACAAACTCAAGCCATGTGGTTCCCATAACAAATCACAGCACATGTTTGCAAACTCAAGTTGGGGGGAAGGGAACCCACATTGTTGAGCCCCTGCCAACATGCCAGGCATGGAGTTAGCCATTTCACTGCACTAATTCATTCACTCTCACAGCCACCCTGAGGGGGAAGATGTATTAGTCCATTTTCATAGAGGAGATAACTAGGGTTCAGAGAGGTAAAGTAACTTACTCAGAGTCACACAGCCTGTTAGGAGCAAAGTCAAATATGAACCGAGATTTGTCTAACTCCATAGCCAATGCAGCATGTTGTCTCCACACACACACACACACACACACACACACACACACTCCAGGTGTGCTCTCCCTTGTACCTAAGAAGGGGAGGCTTCTCATTCACAACTGTAAATATTTAAGGAAGTGAGCATGGAGTTGCCCAGACTCATTTGCACTCCCTTCTGACAAACGGCATTAGGTCATTGAACAAACGCTTGCTGAATGTCTTCCGTGTGCCAGGTCATGTACCAAGTGCTGGTTCACAAAAATGAAAAGCCACAGTTGTTGCCCTGAAAGAGTTCAAAGTTCAGCAGGGAGGTGTGAGGGAAATCTGAAGAAAATACAGGGCATACAAGAGATCTAATCTATAATAGTGGTAGCCTCCAAATGCCGGGAAGGAAGGAAAAGGAAACCACCGGGGGTCTGCCTGGGGCAGTTAAGGAAGGCTTCTCAGAGGAGGCAGCATGTGACCTGGAGCATGAAGAATGAGGGGGGTGGAGAGGGACTGATTCTGATGGAGAGGCTGGGTGAGAGATGAGACAGGACAGGGAAGCAGATGCCACTGCGGGCCCTAGGGATTTTGTATGTCATCCTCAGGTGACTGGGAGGGATTGAGGATTTTTATGGTGGAAAAATAGTACCTGGTTTGCATGTTAGAAAGAATGGACAGAAGGGAGGAGAGCTTGGACTAGGGAGACCATGCAAGTGGCTACGGCCACAGTGCAGGCGGGAGATGGTAAGGCCTGATGTGGAGTGTAAGGCAATCGGACAAGATATGGGATGCAAGGGGGTGGCGGGGTTAGGGTGTATCCTGGTCCTGAGAAAGAGCAAGACAACTGCCTTCTGACCTATGAAAATGTAATGAAAGCTGTGATTCTCTTTCAGAACAAGGCACGAGTGCACAGGCACATGATATTTTGCATATAATTATAGAGGACTTATATCCCTGAAGCCTCAGGGTAAGAACCCAGTTCCTGGGAGTTCTAAGAGGCAAAACAACATAGTGGTTAAGCCTGTGTATGTTGGAGTCAGACTGCCTGGTTCATCGTCTCAGCTGCACCACCTATTAGCTAGGTGAGCTTGGGCAGGACATTGCCCCTTCCCTCCTCGGTAAGGCAGGAGTGATCCCAGCCCCTGTGTCAAGACTTGTTACAGTGAACAAGTGAGTTGATTCATGCAAAGTGCTTGGAACCCAGATAGTGCTCAGGAAGCACTAATGGTTATTATTATGGATTAAATCATAGCACTATGAAGACATTCCCCTTTGTACCCCATATCACAGCTAAAGTTCTGGTGTCTTCTGGATAGGCCCCCCTAGTCCCAGTACTCACTTTTCCCTTTTCTCTGAACCCATCACTTCCTTTTTGGTCTGAGTCTCTTTAGCCACAACCTGATTATTAGTGTTAAGCTCACTAATCCCTCTTCTAAGAGAAGGAAGAGGACCTGGGCCCCATCATCACAGAGGCCCGGCCCTTGCCTTTACCTCAGATGACAGTGACTATAAGGAGAAGATGTGATTCGGGGAAGAACCCTTCAGCATGGGGGTCCTTCCCAACTCAAAAGTCACAGAAAACCTCCTCACTGTGTCCTGGCAGCCCTTCTCTAAATGTCCCCAGTTCACATTTTCCATTTGCTCCAACCAACATCCCCATCCCCAACTAGGTTCTAATAGAAGTTGGGGCAGCAGATGTCAAGTTCGTTGAACTCAGAAAGGTGATGGAGGAGAAAGTATAAGGACTTCACTGAGTGACTGTGTGACCCTGAGGGAGTCCTGTCTCCCCCTGGACCTCCGTCTCCTAATCTGTAAGTAATACTTGTCTCTCACTCTGCAGAGGATCTTTGTGAAGACAAATGAGCCAATGGTTAAAATTGGAAGCTGCAAACTATAGTGTGGATAGGAGTTGTATTCCTCCTGACCTTTTGGGCTCTTTGATGTCCCTTTCACTGGCGCTGACAGAGCCCAGATCCTCGGGAGACCTGTAACCAGGTCTCCAGGACTATCCGTAGCTGGGCAGGATGAGCTGTGCCTGAGATTCCTGGGAGGAGAGGAGTCTGTAAATGGGAGGGTTGGGGTTTTGTCCCTCAGCTCAGAAGCACAGAAAGGGTGTGAGGGAATTTCTAACTTGGATGAGAGTTAGAGGTCCTGGTTTCCTCTCTCATCACTATCTGGCCTCCATTCTGATATATGACAGGTTAAGTGGTCCACATGAAACTATGTTGGAAGCCATAGACTGCCCAGAGGTCAGGCCAGGCCAGGCCACCCTGGGGAAGATCCAGGGTTGATTCAGATCAGATAGTTAAGAACTCAAGTCAGCTACCTTCCTCCTGCCGTTTGAGTCCTCAAAAGTATGCAGCTCGAGTTGTCCCTCCAACTGTCTCACTTGTGACAAGCAAGAAGGGAAACTGAGGTCAGACTGAGGGTCAATAACCACAGCAGGCTTCAGAGTCAAAAATTGGCCTTCCCAGATCACTGGGTCCTTGCCTGTCTATCTGCACAACTCTCCTGGACTCTGTCTTTTGATCTGTATCTCTCTGACTTGTTTGTGAACTTGAGAGCATAAGGAGTCATTCATTTCTCCATCCCCAGTGTCAAGCACTGTGCTAGACACACAGTGGTCACTGTGTCATTCATTCAATAACCCTATTGACCTTGTGCTAAGTGCTGGGGATACAAAGCTGAACAAGCCAGACAAGGTCCCTACCCTCATGGAGCTCATATTATAGTGAGGAAGACATACAATAAAGATGTAAACTATGACAATTAGAAATTATGCAGGTATTTGGAGAAGTGAGCATGGAGTTGCAGTTGTGATGGGGAAGGGATGATACTTGAGAGATAAGGTGACAGGGAAGATCAGAGATCTAAGCTGAAACGTGAAGGATGAGAAGAGTCCAAATGAGAATATCTTCGATTAATAAATACGTGTTGCAAGAATGGATGAATGGATGGATACATGGATGGATCAATGGATGGCTGGATGGATAAACAGACAGACAAACCAACAGGGTGGATTCTGATGTGAGTAAGAGTCATGCTGTAGTACCCAGTCTCTAGTATGCTTAACACAAGAGAGGAGGGTGGGCAGGATGGAACGTAACCGACCCCAAATTCCGGATTTTGCTCTCACCTAAGCGCATATTGAACAAGCCGATGGGACCCTACCGGCCGCTGGGGGGCGACCGAGAGCACATCCATTTCCCTTTAAGGCCGGGGCGGAAGATTGCAGGGGAAGGGCCTTTGTGTCGGCGGGATAGAAATAGGTCCGCCCCTTTAAGAGGGCGGAGACTTTGCAGTGGCGGCAGCTTCGAATGCGGCCTAGGGCGCCGGCCCCAGCTTCCCAGGGACCCTCCCCGGGGCCCTCTCGGCTTGCAGAGACGCCTCTTTCCGACTTCGTCCCAGAGACACCGTCGTCCGGGCTCCAAACCTCCCTCCTGGGGCCAAACCCGAGGGCCCCGTGACCCCTAGAGTTGGGGTCAGCCCGGCCAACCCGCTGGCCGAAGCCCACCGACCGTCGCCATGGTAATGCCCGGCCGCCTTGTCCCCCGGCCCTAGGGACCTGCCTTCCGGGTTCCAGCCCCTCAGCCCCGTGCGAGCTGCAGGGTCGGGTTAGGGTTTGGGGGAGAGCATGGTGGGGTCGGCAGACCTGGGCTCTAGTCAGGACTTGGCAAGGACACACACGACACCCTGGGAAGGTCTCTCCACCCACCCGCTGGGCCTCAGTTTCCCGCCTGTTGCTTTCCGTCTCATCTTGGAGAACTGCTCTTCCTTTCCGGTGCGCTCAGACGTCACACCTCCTGGGCCTGACCGTCTACCCCTAACCTGTCCAGTCTGATCCTTGACTTTGCGGAGGTTGGGGGTGGGGGGTAGGTCTCCCTAACTGTAGCTATTGCTGCTCAGGCATCTGGGGTTAGGCACAGACCTTGATTCTAGAATTGACCCACTTTTAATGCTGGCCACAACAGCCCTGCTGCCCAGAAAGAAGGAACTGTGGACTGGGGAGCATCCTACTCTCCTGGGACTCTAGCTTTTGAGTATTGGATTAGATAGGAGGAAACCACTACCTTGGCGTTCAGAATCAAGGCCACTGTGCTCGGCATGTTTGGATTTATGATAGTGTCACTTTGGGATATTGCAAAATCCTTAGGCCCACGTGCACAGACAGGGCTGAGTCTAAAGAATGACCCAGGATCCCTGGGCAGCCTTCCCTGTGCCCTCTTCCTCTTCTTACAATGAACGCAGATGGACCTGAGTAAATTGTTTTACAAGAAAGGATTCTAAATCATCTGAGTCTTTAAGTAAATCCCATCTCTTCTCTCCTTGTCCCTTATTCCTCCCCCTCGAGACTAGTTAAAAAAAAAACAAACCAAACAAACAGAAAACAGTACACCTGACAGTCTTGTTAGAATTGGGAAGAAGCACCGTGAGGACAGAATGTACTTGCAAGCAGTATTTCTCCTCTAACCTCAATTGCTTTATTTTCCTTTCAGGCCTGCAGTCTGCAGAAGCTGTTTGCTGTGGAAGAGGAGTTTGAAGATGAGGTAAGGAAGTGTTGGTGATCAGAGATGGCAGAGGAGATCTTAAGATGTAAACCCCTAGGCCCAGAACATCTTGGAGCAGTCTGCCCAAGTCCCCTTTTACTTGACGTGTTTATCTTTTTGGTCTGTGAGAAGCTGAGAAATGTAAATAAACCACTTCACTGTCTTAGAAACAAATAAAAAACCAGAGAGACAGACTGAGCTGCTTAATTATCATACCTTTAAATTATAGGGGCCCCTGCCTGGAATGAATGTCATTTAGATGATTTGATTCACTTTCATGATGATGCACTTGAGGTGGGAAGAAAGTTTATGAAGAGCCAGGACAGCACAGTTACTGGTTGGCAGGAGGCCAGCTCACCAAGGGGCTCCGTGAGCCAGGGCAAAGTACTTCATTCCTTGGCCTTCTAATTTCTCTTCTACAACATGCGGGGTATTCTTCTGCCTCAAATGTTCTTCCCTTCTGTCTCTCTACTCAGAAGATGAAGGATTAGACTAGATCTGAAGCTGGCATATTAGAATCACCCCTGCCGAGGCCCCACCATGCACCAATTAAATCAGAATTTCTGGGGATGGGCCCAGGCAGGGTTCTGATTTCTGGGTGAACCAGTGATCTCCAAGCTGTATGCCCACTCAGATCTAACAGGCACAGTTTCAACTGGGAGGCTGGAAATTGCTCTCTCAAATCCTTTTCAGAAAGAAGCAGGATTTAAGTGAGTTAAAGGTGAATTAACCTGCTTAAGAATGCAGCACCCACAGCCAGGATGAGGTCTTGGCCTCCTGACTCCAGGCTAATGTACACGGAAACTACTAAACTACATTCATAGAGTAGAGATGCTCCATTTGATCAATGAGAAGCCATTCAGACCTACATTTTGTCTCACAGAGCTTTGCTTTAAAAATCACATTTAGAATTTGTCCAGACGCCTAATTTGTGCCTAGTAAGATGGTGAATGCTACGCCGGGGACCTCTCTGGCAGCCGCAGCCCCATACTTCCCTTCCTCTGAGGCTTTTGGAACCTGAGGCTTGAAGGGAAAAACAGACCTTCCTCAGACCTCTTAAAATTCCATCTCTGGCTTGTTTCATTCGTTGAGGCCCCAAGACATGGTGACAGAGGCACGTGTGGGTTCCAGTCCTGGTTCTGTGAAGTTACTTAACCTCTCTGAGTCTCGGTTTCTGTAGCCATAATAAAACAGGGATAATAATAGTACCTATTCATAGGGCCATTGTGAGAATCCATGGAGAGAATTCTGGTAAAATCTTTACATGGTACCTGGCATGCAGTGAGGTTTTTCAAATGTCAGATGTTTTGTTATCACTTGGAGACTTGATTTTTTTTTTGTGTATATATATATATATATATATATATATATATATATATATATCTTTTATTGAAATATAGTCACTTTACAGTGTTGTCAATTTCTGGTGTACAGCACAGTACTTCACTCATACATGGATATACAGATAGTCATTTTCATATTCTTTTTCGCCGTAAGTTCCTACAAGATTTTGAGTGTAGTTCCCTGCACTGTACAGTATGAACTTGTCGTTTATTGATTTTTATTTCTACAAATAATTCAAAACTGCCAGCTTTGGCAAGGAGATGTGCCCTTGTCTTTGTCTTTCAGCTTTGAAGGTGGGTAATTACAGGCTGAAAAAGTGACTGTTAAAGTGACCTCCTGGTCTTACCAGGTCATGGTAGGACTGCTAGGCTAGTAATGGATTTAAGAGTAAAGGACTCTGACAGCTCAGGTTTCTGTTCCATGACCGGTCCTTTTCTCCTTTCCCAGGCAGATGACATCATGTCTGAGAGTGAGCTCTTCAAGAGAAAAGGGCTTTATCAACCCCCAGGGTCATGAGGACTTTCTTGCTGTTGTAATTCTAATGTTATTATTATTACTAAATTTGAAAGTAGTCCGGTTGGAGTGTGCTACTCTCCTGGTAATACATAAAGCAAGAAGAAACCTTTCTCTAACCTAGGCAATCCAATACGGCATCAGGATGTAGGGGTGGAGGGGACCTTCCTGTCAGTTAAATCAGCAGTTCTGACTCAAAAACACCCTCGGAACAGGTCTGTTCCTCTTGAAGGTGTCAATCTCACCTTGCTTCCAACTGGAATCCATACTTAATTTAACTTGCCTGAAAAGCTATATTTAACTTCTGCCTATTGTGCTGGCTCCAAGGCCTCTCTGGCTTACTGAAGGCTGTGTGTGTGTGTGTGTGTGTGTGTGTGTGTGTGTGTGTGTGTGAGAGAGAGAGAGAGAGAGATGGGGTGAGGAGTGGATCGGGGACAGGCAGCAAGACCAGCTGCGGATCCCTTGTGCACAGGCTGGACACCAGAGTGCTGATTTCCTTGAGATGGGTGTGTGACCTTGGGTGATCTGTTTGACTCCTTGGTGACCTGGTTCATTTGCTTCTACTGTTCCCCCAACTGCCACAACTCCCCCCTCCCCTGCCGACCCCCCTGAGATCAAAGAGAGAGAGAGAAGCTACCTGAAGACTTAGCCTTAGAATGTGTGTGGTAGAAGGCTGGTGGTAGCCTCAAGGGTGGTGGGAGGGTCCACCACTGCCTTTCATTCCTTGGTTTCTTTGAGCATATCTGCACACACATATATACCACCTGCCTGAAACAGGAAAAACAGAGTGTTTCTTGATTTCCAGATACCAAGACCCACTGTCTCTGTTTCTTTGTAGGATTTCTTGTCTGCCGTGGAAGATGCAGAGAACCAGTTTGCTCGCTCACGGCCTGTGAATACAGGGTGCCTGAGATCTGTCTCTTCCCGGCCACAGGACGCTGGGCAGGCACAGGCTCCCGGGCAGCTGCTGCCATGTCCTGCTGCTCCTTCAGAGGCCTTGGGCCTGCCAGCCCTGGGACACCACCTCCCTACCTCCAGCATGCCCAGGGCAGTCGGGGGTCCACTTTCCACAGGAACAGCTCCCCTCGGGCCTGTCTTTTCACCCAGCAGCTGGACTGGGAATCAGAGAAGAGTGACCCTGACAGAAGTGCTCAAAGAGCCAGCCAGACCCCAGTCCTCAGCCTCCCACCCCCAGCTCACTTTAGAGAGCAAACGGCAGGTGATTGGTGGCTTTGAGGGGCCTGAACAAGATGAATTTGATGAAGTCCTGGCAAGCATGGAGCTCGAGGGGCCCAACATGGAGCTGGAACTTGGAGTTAGCAGAGAGGCCACCTGGCAGCAGGAGGACTCAACACTGGCTAAAAAGGCCCGAGTAGCTGATCTGAGCAGATCTTGCCAGAATGGGCCCATGCCTGCCACCCACATAACTGGTGTTGTATCAGCCCAGGGTGAGCCTCCAGATCCCGTTGTGCACTGGAGGACTCCACAGCCTCACCTGAGACCTGGTGCTACGGGTAGCTTTCCTGTCCCAACTGCTTCAATGGTTTGTGCTCAGCAATCCCACCGGGAGGTCTCTCCCAGAGGTGCTGCTCTTCGAGCACCCCAGCCTCTCCATGCTGCTGGCAGGCCTGTTCATAGCAGCCCTCAAACTCGTTTCCCTGGTCAGCCATTCCAGTCTCCAAACACCTGCTTAAGTGGCAAACCTCATTTTCCCAGACCACGAACTCCCAACTCAAGCTGTGCTACTCCCTCAAGGACCATCTCTGGATTATTTCCTCGGGGGCCCTTACAAACCCAAGCTCCAGCATCTCCTGTCGTGTCTCCTGTCCGTACCCCAAAGGGCCCTCGTCCCTCCCTGGTCCCTCAAGCAGCTCTGCAGACACCGGTAGTCACCAACCACCTGGTGCGGCTGGTCACTGCTGCCAGCCGGACACCCCAGCAGCCCACCCACCCCACCACCTGTGCCAAAACGCGCCGCTTTCCTGGCCCAGCAGGGCTCCTGCCTCACCAGGTGAGTGACAGCTTCTACCTGGCCAAAGCCTGAGCTCTCCATTACGCTGAGGGTGGGGGAGAACGCAGAGTCCCAGCACTGCCCAGTCCCGGTGTCTCCACACCCCTCAGGATGTGGAGGAAGGAAATGCAGAGAGGGAGGGTGTCCAAAGCTGTGGAAGAAGTCGGAAGAAGTGGGAAGAAAGAATTGAATACTTGAAAACCCACACGTGAGAGAGGTGCTTAAGGCTCTGAGAACCCTCACAATTTCCATACGTTTGTTGAACACCTACTGTTTACTAGCACCAGGGCAGGAAGAGTCATTCACTTATACTTGCTAAAGACTGGGGGATGCTGGGCACTTTGCTTGGAACTGAGAATATAGAGATTAATATAGAAATAGTTCCTGCCCTGAGGAGCTTGCAGAAGCAGAGGCGAGCAAATGGTTATATGTAAAAGGCACAGTGAGAGTAGAAGTCCTTCCCTGGGTGCTGGGGATACCCTGGGCTCCTCAGGCTTGCTCAGTGGGCTTTGGATGGATGAGTCGGAGGTTTACAGATGTGTGTGTGATAGCTGTGCCCTGGAGGACATTTCAGCAGTGGGAAGACGGGAGAGCATGTGCAAAGGCAGAGACTCATGTGAGCAGGATGCTCTTGGAGAGCCACAGAACCACTCATTGTGGCTGGTGTGTGGGCTCAACGTGGGGCAGTTGAGGCTGTGCTGGGAGTTTGGATTTTGGTAGCAGTGGAGGGACACGGTCCATCAAACTGGTCTTGGATCAGATCCTAGATTATTGTACTCTGAGGACCTGGCCTAGTTGTGATCAGTAAACCCCTTTCCTCTGTAAGGGTGTACATTTGAAGGGTGTCTGAAATAATATCTATCTGTTACTCGCTCTTCCCTGGCACTTTCAGAGAAGTCCAAGCAGGCTGTCTACATTACTTCCAGGCTGGGTCTCTGAGGGAAGGGTAAGGTCCCTGAGAAGGGAAAGCTGCTTTTTTACTCATCACAGGCCTCTCCAGTTCATTGCTCTCTCCAGGAAGTCCTGGGTTTTGTTCCTGGGCCAGCTCCAGCTTCCTCACATTCCCAAAACGATCCCCAAAGCATCTTTTTTGAGCTGCCAACAAGGCTCTTGAGACTTCGTTAGGAGAGATGTAATATGTGTTAATTGTCCCTGATAGTTTCCTGCACGCATTATGTAACCCAGACAAGAAGCTGTACTTGTAAATAACAGCTGCTGAGCTTGCTCCCGTCTTCTCTCCTCTCTCCCCTCGTAGCACAGTGGGAAAAATCTGGACGACATCATGGTTTCCACGCCCCAGACTCCGACTCACGGTGCTCTGGCTAAATTCCGGACAGAGGTAACTAATTCCCTGTAAATGTTAACTTCCCGGGTGTCATTTAAGAGTAAGGGACATCCCTGCCTGTTTCAGGAGCTGAGAATCAGAGTTGGTGCTGCTTGGCCTGTTCCCTGGGGTCACCCACCAAAGGGCGTTTGGGAAAGGCAGTTTAGGGAGGTGGCAATTTCACTGGCATAAAGTGAAGCTTGTACTGATGCCAAACAGGCGTTAACTGATGCCATGGGTCCAGGCTTCTTTCCCATCTAAGAAAGGCCCAGCTAACTCCATCTTCCCTCAGGGGAGGAGAGTGTAATAAGTATCAGGAAACTGTATCTCGGGAAACCTTCCTCTCAGGTTTCTGGGAATTGAGCTAGGGAGGATCTGCCTTCATCTTGCCTCTGGTGGGTTCTCTTTTAGTAGGAGAGACCCAGCCTCCCTCCTCCCTGGGATTCTGGTTGACCTGCTCTGCCCTCAGACCCACTTTCGCTTTTAGTTCCCTCTGGACATTTCTCTCTTTGCTACAGCTCTGCAGATCCACCAGTCCATTTCAGATCCAAAGTGGTAAATACTCATCTGGATTCAAAGTGCTTTTTAATATAAAAAAGTGAACAATTAAAGCTAGAGTCATCGCAAGTAAAATATAACTGTTTCACAATTACCTGGAAGCATGTTTGTGTATATGGGGGCTCCCTAGCCCCAAGACTGTTTAAGTCTATTACAAGAGACAAACATGGATAGCCTTTTGCTTCAATGTAATTAAAGTCAGGACCTGATTTAAAATAACCTAAATTAAGGAGCACTTTTGCTATTGCTTGTAGGTGAAAGATGTGATATGCAAGTTTTCACACACCATTTTCTGACCTTGGAGATAAATGGAGAGACTGGCCACCATGCTGCAGGGAATTCACCCCTCCATCCTGTCTCAGTCAAGGTCTGTAGCTGGGTGGATCCATTAATGCAGGCTCCCCTTCTGTTCTCTGCTGCCAGATTGTTACTAGTTCCCAGGCATTGGTGGAAGAAGATTTTGGGCGAGGACCCTGGCTGACCATGAAATCTGCTCTGGGCCTGGATGAGAGAGACCCCACCTGTTTCCTCTATACCTACAGCATCATCATGGTGCTGCGGAAGGTAATAGTCCTGGGTGCTGAGACTCGAAGGGAAGACCATTTCTATCCCTTTCACCAACCTACTGCCCTGTTCCGCCTTAGGAAAGGGGCTCTCTGTTTGTGCCCTCTTACCCCAGGTTGATCTCTGAGCAGCAGCATGAAGCCCCTCTGGTTGTACCTTCCAATCACCTTTCTTCTCACTGCCATCCATAGTATCAGGCACAGGTGGAAGGAGAGGGTGGGTTATTGGCGTGTCTCTGCACATCTGGGCCCTGGATAGGGTGGGGTAAGCACACTGCTACCCTCAGAGCTCCCTAGAGGTCAAGGGTCATGTGCAGACACATCTTAGTACATGTGTTAATATATTTGTGCCTGTGGCTTGCCATGGTGGAGCGCTGTATAAATACATACACATAAATACACAAAAGAAGGGAGGCAGCAGGGGAAAAAAAGAAGGGCCTGTCAGCTTTGGGTCTGCCAGAGAGAGATGAGACAAGCCTTTTAAACTGCCCCTTTGCCCCCACAAAGGAAGATCATCACCACACCTGTTCTCTGTCCCCCTCCTCCCCACCGGTTGCCCTGGCATCCTTGGGAACCTTATAGGTGGGACATGGCTGGCTCAGCAAATGCCTCTTCTTGTAACCAGGCAGCCCTGAAGCAGCTTCCCAGGAACAAGGTCCCCACCATGGCGGTGATGATCAAGTCCCTGACTCGGAGCACAATGGATGCCAGTGTGGTTTTCAAGGACCCCACAGGTGAGGAGTTAGGCCCCTGGAGTGTCTGGTGAGTGGCCTCCATTGAAGTCAGGAGGTGAGGAGGAGTCACCCCCTCCATTTTCAGATGGAAAAATTGAGGCAGTGAGCAACCAACTTCCCAGCCAGGCCCCAAATCAGGTGCTGTTGCACCCTTGACCCTGAGACTGATAGGTGGTGTGGTATTTGCAGGAGAGATGCAGGGCACAGTGCACAGGTTGCTGCTGGAGACGCGCCAGAATGAGCTGAAGCCTGGCTCAGTGCTGCTGCTAAAACAGGTATGGGAGCTCTTGACGGGGACCTGCTCTCCCTGCTCCTGCCCTGGAGAAGGGTTCTGGTTGTCTCTCTGGCTCCGTTCCCTCCCTGGACCCAGCCAAGAAGCGGCTGGGCTAGACCCTGGCTTACTGGAGCTAAGTAGGGGCCCAACTCCCATCCTTCAGAGGGTAGATGGAGGTAAGGGTTGTGCTATGAGGGGCCGAGGGTATGGTTAGTGGTTTGGTTCTGGCACCAGGGCTGGGGCAGAAGTGATTTGTGTGAGTCTGGTGAGAGACCACTAAGGGAGAGGCAGGCGGAGACTGAGTGACCACTCAGCCGCACCTCGTGCTCCATCAGGTCACTGACCTCCCCCTTCTTCTACTCCAGATTGGAGTGTTTTCTCCTTCGCTCCGAAATCACTACCTCAATGTGACGCCCAACAACCTGGTCCACATTTACAGCCCAGATCCTGGGGATGGGAACTTCCTGAAGCCATCTCAGCCCTTCCCCAAGGTAAGAGGAGCAGGGCGGAATGGGGACTAGGAGAGCCACTTGCTGCCTGGATCTTCTGATTTCTTCCCCTCCTCCATCCTGGGGAGCAGAAGTGTGAAAGCAGTTGCCCTGAGATGACGAGATGCCTTTGGGGAAGGGCCATTCTCATCCTGTCCCTGGTCCAGCCACCTGCCAGATGGCATAGTAATAGGACCTAGAGGAGCAGCTGGCTTCTTGGTGATCCCCGAGCGTCTGATGGCAGACTAGAACATCGGAGAGGATGGTAGTCACTTGAGAACTAACCGAGTTGAGGGTCCATGACGGGGTGGTGGCCCTCAGTATGTGACTGAGGATCAGATGGCAGTGCTGAGGAACAGTGAGCTACAGTCTGTCAGGGGAGCCCGTCATTTGCTTTGTATCTTCCCTCCTGGTTTCTGCCTCTGGTGAGGGGGCATCGGCCCAGAACTCAGGTGGGGACACCCCCTTTGGGAATTGAGGGAGACTAGGTTCCTGGCAGATCCACTCCAGGGTGAGAGTGCAGAGCCTGGCCTTGACTTGGCACTCAGGGTCCCCTCTATGGCCACCCCCACCTTCCTGGGATCCTGGGTTGTTGTCATGGCCTGGCCTGGGAGTCTGGAGACCTGGGTTATGTACTTGCTCTGCTGGTAATTTGTATCATGACCTTGGGCAAGTCCTGTCCCCTCCCCTGCTTTTGCTTCATCTATAAAACCAGGGGGTTGGACTCTATGACTTCCAGTCGAGTTACATCTTTAGCTCTAACTTGCTACTTCCATTTCTCTCATCTTTCTCCCTAACTTTCTACATTCTTGGAATACTACCCAACTTCTGAAAAATCATCTTAATTTTTTTGTACATTTCAAGTCATCCACACTCGTTGAAAAAAATTGAAATGGTACAGAATAAAGCAAACGTGAAACTGACCCTTCCCCACTTCCATTCCTTAAGGTTAACCATGGTTAATGGGTTTAATTACTAATTTTAATTTCCTATTCATGTATCAGCTAGTCTGGGGATTGTTAGCAGCTCATTTTTAATTCCAGGCTAACTCTGCGACATATTTATGAATGGTCTCTTCACTCTTTGCTCCATTTATATAGATTCCCTAAAACATCGATACCAACAGAATTAGAAAAGAAAATCAGCCAAAAAGTTTTTTGTTTTTGTTTTTGTTTTGTTTTTTTGCTATTTGAGGTGTTTGGTGTTTCAGCTCCCTCCCCACTGCATGGCCCTGGGTGTCGGGCCCTGCCACATTCTTCTGTCCTGTCTTTCCTGAGTCTCCACCTATTCCTTTGAGGTTGTCTGGGTAGAGATGGTACTGTCCAGAGGGATTTCAGGGGCACAGTCATTGGTAACCAGATCCTCTGTTCCCAGGATCCAGGAAGCTTCCATGACAGCCTCCAGCACGAGACTGTGAAGCCTGGGAAAGGCCTCAGGACAGCACAGAACCCAGAGGCAGGGGCATCCCCTGAGAAAGAACTCCCAGAGGCAGGTAAGGTCATCAGCCTACCCAGGAGCAAAGGAGGTTCTCCTTCTGTTTCCTCTTGAATAGCTCAGCCACACTGTTCAGGCCGCATCTTATTCCTCCTTCTGTGAACCTTTGGATCTTACAGAATCTTACAGAAATCAGATGTGGTATCTTCTCTGGCAAGGCTGCAGACCACAAACTAATTAACACAAAGAATTTGATCCGCAGCTCCCCCATTTCCAGGCCATATGCCGTTAGCCACAAGGAGATCGACTGGCGCCATCCTTGAGTCTTCCATGGGCTGATGGCCAGACCACACAGGCAGATTTCCCCATTTTGACTAAAGCTTCGAGGCCCTCCAGGCAGTGCTGAAGGGTCAGACACCCACGTGGTTAGGGTGGGACCAGGATACAGACCTGAGAGGCCCCAAAACAGACCTCTTAGGGGAGGACCAACTTGTTCCTCAGGAAGGCGCATCACCCAGGTGAAGCTAACACAGTCCAGATCTGGTCCCTATTTGTTCAATTCCATAGGTTCAGTCCTATCTGGACCTAAAGTTCATGGGATTATGGGTAGGTTTCTCCACATTAACCAGATTCACAGTAGACCAGTGGATAAACCACAGTGCCTGTTTATTTATATTGTATAAAAAACTATCTACCCCTTATGCTGGAATCGTCTCTTGAATCTTGCACTGTCTTGTAAGTAAGCTTGATGACAAGCCAAACCATCATCAGAAGGTTGCCAGTGGTCATGGAGGAAGAATGAGGAGAGTCACCTATAGAGTATTGTAGTTGGTGTCACATCTCCACCACAGGGACAGACCTGCCAAGCAGACAGCGGCTGGTGGTGGCAGGATAGGACAGGGAGACACAAATACACATTCCTGCTCTGATTCTCACTTTCCTAGGCCCGCACTGCTGCTCATTCCCCTTCATTTAACCTAGTGTCTGTCCAGACAGTCATGGTGTAGCTAGTGAGGAGCAACTTTTTTTGTTATAATCAAATTCTAGTTCTCCTTCCCTGAGCACAGTGCTGGTCACCTTAATTAATTTTGAATGCCTCCAAAGTGACTTCTGTCCCTCTAGTAGCAGTGTGTATCGGGTGCTTGGTGCCAGACCCAGAGCGTGCCTCCGCAGCTGTCATTCCCAGCCCGACTGACTCTAGGGCTGCCTGGTCCCATCCCTTCAGCAGACATTTTGTAGTTGGAAGCTGTGGCTCTGGCACCAAATGGATAATGGGCAGGTTGTCTGACCTCTTTTTCTCAGGTTCAGTAGGGATTATAACAGAAACTGTGACGAGAGGGACCATGAGACGGAGGCGAAGTGATGATTATAACGTGTGCAGCCCTGTGCCGGGCAAGGACCCAGGACGTGTTAGCTGCTGTTGTTAACAAGCAGAGTAGCAAGAGGGGCTACTGAGACCAGCTGTTTTCCAAGTTCTCAGACACAGGCACCCCATCTGAGAACTGTAGTCAGAAACAGGTACTTTCGTTCCTGGGCCAACAAAGGCACTTTGTGGAAGGGGATCATGATGTCTCCCATTCTTCAGATGAGAAACCAGATTACTGAACTGTGTGATTCTGAACACATCTAATGGCTTTTTCCGGCCTCGTTTCTCCCTCTGTCCAGCGAGAAGCTTGCATTAGGGGACCTCTGAAGCCTTTCTGCTCAGGCACTGTGTCTCTCAATGGAAGGAGAGGAACCATCAAGGTCCAGTTGGAGTCTCTTTCTCGGCAGAATGCTTCTACCTTTTGCTGTGTGTGGGTGTATGGGGAGCAGAGGGAAGATGGAAGTCAGGCCAGCCTCAGGCCCATTGGCAGGCGTACCGCTGCCCAGGGGATGCCACCTCCCTGACTGTGCAGCCAGGTCCAGGCCCCCTGAAAGGCCGGAGCTTTGGCTCTAAGTCACAGGGAGCCCTGATGTTGACACTGAGTCTACCCGCCCTCTCCATCCCCCACTGCAGATGACCTGGATGGACTCCTGAGTGAGCTCCCGGAGGACTTCTTCTGTGGGACCAGCAGTTGGGAGCGTCCCAAGGCCGGGCACCCACCATGAGCCAGCAGCCTCTCAGCACCCAGGCAAGGCTCTGGTTGTATCTGATCATGTCCCAGAGGGAGAGGAAGACCAGCACAATTGGAGAACAGACAAAGCTCAGGACTTCTGTGCCCCCACGCTGGACACTTTCCTGCAGAACATCCTCATCCCCCGGATTGTGCACTGCTGTCACTTTGGTCTTCCTTTGGTGTACCAGAACTCTGCCAAGGATTGGCTCTCCAGCCCTACTACCCTCCAAGCCTTTGGGTGCATGGTTCCTTCTCCTCCTGCCAACAGGGAAGTGTGTCCCTCCCCTACCTCCGCCTGACTTTAGAGGATGTTGGGCCTGGGCCCTTTACTCCCTAGTCCCCAGACAGCTGAGGTGCCAGGAGGCACCACACCATAGCAGTGGCGACCTGTCCTTCAGGACAAGGCAGGAACACACTCAGACTTCCCTCTGCTTTGTCTCTTGAGGCCTGTAGCTGCCCAGGTCACCTGTGCCCAGGGCTCCCAGGTGCGGGGGCAGGGGTGTGGCTGCAGCGCCTTATTCTGAAATAAAGCAGCCGCGTGCTTCACCTGCCTCCCTCTCTTTTCTAGCCTTGCAGCTCTTTGTCCTGCCACCGGTGCTCTGGCCAGGGCAGAGCCACACTACTTGCTTTCTTTCTCTGTCTTTTTTTTTTATAAACTTTTTCTTTTAGACAGGTTTAGGTTTACAGAATTATTGCAGAGATATCAGGGAGTTCTCATATACCCCACACCCAGTTTCCCCTCTTGTTGCCACTTAAGTATGTTAGGATGGTAGATTGTGACAGCAAAAGAACCAGAACCAGTATTGATACATTATTATTAACTGAACCTCCAACCTTTATTCACATTTACTTAGTTTCCCCCTGATGTCCTTTTTCTATTCCGGGACCCCACATTACATTTAGTCATCCTGTCTCTTTAGGCTTCTCTTGGCTGTGGTAGTTTCTCAGACTTTCCTTGTGTTTTAATGACCTTGACAGGTTTGAGGAGCACAGGTCCAGCATGTTGTAGGAGGCCCCTCTGTTGGAATTTGTATGATTTTTTTTGTGTGTGTGATTAGACAGGTTATGTTTTTTGGAGAGGAGGACGACAGAGGTAAGGTATTGTTCTCACTGTATCACATCAAGGGTTGATGTTGACCTTGATCACCTGGCTGAGGTAGGGTTTGGCAGGTTTGCTGGGTTTTTCCACTGTCAAGTTACTCTTTTTCTCCCTTTCCATACGATGTTCTTTGGGAGAAAGTCACTATGTGCCGCCCACACTTAAGGAATGAGTTATGATCTACCTCCTGAAGGGCAGGACATCTACATGGATTACTTGGAATTCTTCTACATGGGAGATTGGCTTCTTCTCCCTTACTTTTTGTTCAATCACTCATTTATTATCAGTATGGACTCATGGATATTTATTGTATACTTTGAGTTATAATCCAATACTACTTTAATTTGTTGCCAAGCAACTCTTCGTCACTGTAGCTTCTTTGTACCACCTTTCAGACAGGAGTTAGACAAGGGTCCTAGGGGGGATGTAAAAGGCCTAATTATACTAAATTGCCAACCAAACCTTTTTTCCTTTGTGGAATGAAAGGAAGAAAGGAAGATTCTCTCAACACATGGTTGAGGGGGTGCGGGTTAAAGACCCCAGTTTGATGGCCAGCCTTGCCTTCCTCTGCCTCAGCCTTCAATAGGGAGCTGTGAGTTGGGGCCTCCAATGGCCTTGGTACTGCCCTGGGGGAAGGCATTAGTCTCCCTTTTTCCAAGAGAGGCTGATCCCGTGGATCCCAGTCTCAAGGCTGAAGTGAGCAAGGAACTCCATGTTCAGCTGGCTGCTGGTGGCAGTGGGGCCCTGTTCTGGAAGGCTTTTGTGGCCCAAGCTAAGGAGCAAAAAGGGGCACAATCACCAGCACCCTGCCCTTTCACATTCCCGTTTCGTCTCCCTACCTGAGCACGCCACGCACGTCTTTCTCTTCCCCGCACCACTAACTCCCCAGCTCCGCCTCAGTAGCTCAGGTCTGAGCCAGGGCCTGTCGACTCTGGTGGTCTTCCTGCACCTAAGCCAACTGCCCGGCCCCGGCCCGTGGCACTGGTCCCCACTCAGCCCCCTTGAGCCCTGGTCTCTACTGTTTGCAATCCTGATGGATGTCCTGGTTTCTCCTGTGCTTCATCCCCCAATAGGCTCTGAGCTCCCGGGGGCCTGCAGTCACCTGGCACTGTCCCCGCCAGTAACACTGGGCTCCCTGTGGGTTCATGTGTGGGCTGAAGTAAAGGCCACGGGAAGGTAATGCTGAGGACAGTTTTTCTGGCCTCAGGAAGTTAAGGCGAAGGACAGGAGACAACACACGGTGTCTCTGGGGACAGAGCTGTAGTTACAGCACCCTCAGGCTTATGACAGAAAGGCTGCAGAGACTGGCGAGGTCAGCGCAGCTGCAGGCCCCACTCGCCATGACTATCCTGTGCCTCAGGAGAAGGGGACTCCCACTTCACCTTGGTCCCTCTTGGCCCCAACCCAGACTTGCCGGCTCTCAACCCTGGGAACCCAGCTGTGGGTGCTCAGCCAGGCCATTGGCGGGGCAATTAATACACAGAATGGGTGCCAACAGGGTTAATCACAGCCACATTTACAGAGGTGCCTTTCTCTGAGGATCTCCAAGCCCTCGCCAGGCATGACCTCATTGCTCCTCTGGGATTCCCCCACCCTGGGACACCACCAAGAAGCCGGGGCCGGAGTGGGTGAACAACAGGGTAAGGGCAGAGCCGGAAACAGCCCAGGCTGCTGCCACCCACTTGGGCAGGCAGATGAGTGTTTGCTCTGGCAGAGAACAGGGGCCCTCAGTCAATGCGCTACACATAAGAGGCCGGCCTGCGACAAGCCAAGTGCTGCTGAACACCACATCAAGACCTATTGTGTGCCAGGCCCTGCTGGGTACCAGGACCTCCAGTGATTAAATGCAGGTCCTGCTCTGCAGCCCACCTCCAGCGCGGCAGGCTGTCATCTACAGGACATGGGGACAGGTTCTTGACAAAGGGCACATGAAGTCCTCCTGGAGCTGACGGGGAGTGGCTGGAACTGCTGGGGTGGGAGACCCAAGCTGCTGTAGGGATGTCTCCCAGGGCAGGTGACCTTTGAGGTGGACTTTGAGGAATGAGTCAGAGGGAATTCCAAGCAGAGGGAATGGCAGGGAAGGGCGAGGAGCCGTGCTGAGGCCAAACCAAGGAATTGGGGCTTAGTGGGAGAGGGCAGGGTTCGGAAGTCAGCTGACGCTTTCAAGCTCAGGAATGAACTGGTCTAGACAAGTCATTCCGTGCGGGAGAGGGACAGAGGGGCTGGGCCAGAGGAGGGAACACCAGGGAGGCTGGGCTGGTTCAGGTCAAAGGCACTGGGATGGTGACTGAAAATAGGAGAATTGGAGCTGGATTTATGTTTGTGAGGGGACCAGGGAAAGGAAGGAGTCAGAGAAAACTGACCAGGGGGCTATGAGAGGCGATACTGGGGAGGAAGTGGGCAGGGGAGCCAGGAGCCTGCAGTGCCAGGGCAGCCAGGACAGCTATGGCCCACAGCCAGGGTGGGATGGGGGCAGGCTGACCCTGAGGGCCCTGAGAGGCCGGCTCACATTGGGTGAGGAGAGCTTCTAGGGCAGAGGCTGGACTCCCTGCAGTCCTCCCCTTCCCTGGCTTGGCAGCCACACCAGCTAGTGCTGTTTCACGGCCTCATTCCTCCCCCTAGAGGCTCCTGGAAGTACAGCCGCTTCCTCCAGAGGGTGAAGTTCTTGAAGGTCTCTTTGGTCCAAGTCCCCAGAGTTCCGTGGTCAACCCCTTGGTCCTCCTCAGGCAGGCATGTGAGCCCTTTTAGGAGCTAGGATTAAAAACAAAAATGAAAATCCAAGACTCACTGAAGGCAGTTTTAGGGACCATGCTGTCCTGCTTGGAAGGTCGGGAAGGGTTCTCTGTCTTCCCCTCACATGGGAGCCACAGCACTGGGAGCCACAGTGCATCTCTGGAGTCAGGCCCACTGGGGTCCTAACCTGGCTCCCCCCTTACAAGCTGTGACCTTGAGTAAGTAATTTCACCTTGCTAAGCCTTACATTCCTCATCAGTAAAACAGATGTAAGACCACCCATCTCAGAGGTGTTCAAATTTTGTGATAATTAGCTTGATCATATAATTTATCGTTAAAATCAAATTTTTTGTTTATCTGGGTAAGCCAGGAAGTATGTGTGGTCACCCAAATAAAGATGGATATAAAAGTGATTAAAGGGGGGGACAGTATGGCTCAGTGGTAGAGTGAGTGCTTAGCTTGCACAAGGTCCTGGGTTCAATCCTCAGCACCTCTGTTAAAATAAATAAATAAGTAAACCTAACTGTCCAACCCCCCCAAAAAATTTTTTAAGTGATTTAAGTATTGTAAAGCCCTGTGCATATATCTGCAGAGTTATTGCTGTTACTGCAGACACCAGAAAGAGCTGTTTGAACTCTGACTTCACCTGTCCTTATTTCCAGGGTTGGGGTCTGCCCTCCAGCCAACATCAGAGAGGCCAGGGGGCTCTTCCGTCCATCTCCCTGAATGACTGTTTCACTCACCTCAGACCTTGCCAACCCAAGATGCTCACTCCAGAGAAGTGGGAGGATGCGGACTGGGGCTCAGCTGAGGCCAGCTCCCCAGTGGGAGGGTATGCACAGGGACAGAGGCTGGGTTGGGGCTGGGGGTTGGCCTAACACCTTCTCTGCACCAAGATTATGACTCTGGGCAAACCGTGTTTACCAGAGCAGCGAAGGGCCTATTATTTATAGCCTCAGCTGCTCCTCTCTCTGGGTCACCGTTGAGGGGGCAGGGTGGCTCCTCAGAGCAAGGGTGGCAGACGGGCGGAGGGAACCGAACCGGCTTTGCCCAGCGGCCGCTGCTCAGACCCCTGGATCCCTCCCCATGGCAGAGGAGACCTTCCCCTTCACTTCCTCCACACTGCGCTCTCTCCGCCTGCAGCGGGAGTGGTTGGAATGGGAGGACCGGCGTCGGGCCGCAGCCCAGCAGTGCCGGAGCCAAAGGCGCCCGGCAAGTTCCCCGGCCGGCCTGACTAGGCCGCGCCGCTCCTGCCGCGACCCAGCTGTGCACAATGCCTTGTTCTCCGGCGACCTGCAACAGATCCAAGCCCTGTTCCAAGATGAAGACGCTGCCAACATGATTGTGGAGACTGTGAGCAACCAACTGGCCTGGTCAGCTGAACAGGGTAGGGAGCACCAGGTGGGGCAGAAGAGGAGGGGGAGGGAAGAGGTGGGGGTGGGGAGGGAAGAGGTGGGGGCGGGGAGGGGGAGAGTCCCAGCCCCATCGCCTCCCTCCAGACCATGGACTGGACCGGCCCTTCCCACTGCTCATTCTAGCTCTCTCCTAAACAGAGGTGAGGCATAGTTAGTGGCTTGTATGTCTTTTCAGAATTAAAGTTATATTAACATATCATACAAATTACATAGGAACACAGTTATCTTTCATTGCAATTTTTTCTCTGAATATATATCCACACATGAATATTTTTTCTTTCATAGAATGAAATTATATTCCAGATGCTATTTATAGCTTGATTTTTTCATGTAACACCTTTCAATGTCAGTAACTATTGTAAGTCCACATAATATTTTAAATAGGTGCATGAATTCTATTGTATGGATAAATCGTGTACCATGATTTATATAACTAGCCCCCAGAAAGATTGGGTAGATTTGGTTCTGTTTTTTAAAAATCTATTTTAAATAGCAATATGACCAACATCTTTGTGTACCTGCCAGATCCTTAGGATCTATTCTGACAAGAGGGCTTGTCCATGTAAACCAAATGATCACCCTGTTCTTCAGAGTGACAGGAGATTGCCTCAAACCCTATCCAGGGATATGGGGGTTCAAATCCTTGTAGAGCTAATGCTGTCACAGTCACCACAGGCTCCAAATTCCTGCCTGCCTTCAACTGTTAGAGATGTGATCCTGCCGCCCCCCCGCCGCCCAGGGCATCCTGGTCTCATCCTGCAGCTTGTCCCTCGTGTACATCACAGCCTGCCCTGCCTGCCGGTGTCACAGACCACCCCCCAACACTGCCTGCTCTTCCCAGGGTTCTGGGTGCTGACCCCAAAGGCCAAGCATACGGCACCCCTCACCATCGCCGCGGCCCGAGGCTACACCGACTGTGCCCGCTACCTGATCCGACAGGGAGCTGAGCTGGATGCCCGTGTTGGGGGCCGAGCAGCCTTGCACGAAGCCTGTGCCCGGGCCCAGTCTGACTGTGTGCGGCTGCTGCTGACCTTCGGTGCCAAGGTCAACGTGCTGTCTGAGGAGGGCACAACCCCCTTGCACCTCTGCACAGCTCCGGAGTCTTTGCAGTAGGTGCCTGGAGGCTGAGATGGTTTGGAGAGGGGTGTGTGTGTATGTGTTGTGTGTCGCCAGCTCACATGCTAAAAAGCAGGGGAAGCACCTCACATAAACATGTCCTCACAACAGCCTGGGAGACATGTCTTATTCTATGGATGATAAAACTGAAACTCAGAAAGGTTTAGTTACTTGTCTAAGGTCACATCAGCTAAACCAAGGAGGCAAAACCCTGTTCCAACTGTAGTTTCGTATTCCCTGTGAACCCACTGTAGCCACATTCCTGGCTGTTTTGAGGTAGGCATCAAGAAAGATCTAGCTCATGTACCCCAATGTTCATAGCAGCACTATTTACAATAGCCAAGACACGGGAGCAGTCTAAGTGTCCATAGACAGACAAATGGATAAAGAAGTTGTGGTGTATGTGTGTGTGTTTGTGTATAGAACAGAATATTACTCAACCATAAAAAAGAATGAAACAATGCCATTTGCAGCAACATGAATGGACCTAGGTATTATCACACTAAGTGAAATAAGTCAGACAAAGACAAGTATCATATGATATCACTTATATGTAGAATCTAAAAAGTGATACAAATGTGTTTATTTATAAAACAGAAACAGACTCACAGACATAGAAAACAGACTTACAGTTACCAAAGGGGAAAGGGGGCAAGGGATAAGTTAAGAGCTTGGGATTGGTGGGGGAGGGTATAGCTCAAGTGGTAGAGCATATGTTTAACATACATGAGGTCCTGGGTTCAATTCCCAGTACCTCCTCCAAATAGAAATAAATGAATAAATTTACCAAAAAAAGTTAAAAAAAAAAAGCTTGGAATTAACAGATACACAATACTATATACCAAATAAACAACAAGGACCTACTGTATAGCACAGGGAACTACATTCAATATCTTGTAATTACCTATAATGGAAAAGAATCTGAAAAAGAATATATATATGTATAACTGAATCACTTTGCTGTATAACTGAAACTAACACAACATTGTAAGTCAACTATCCTTCAATTAAAAAAAAGCTAAAAAACCCCAAAACAATAACAGAAAAACAAAAAATTCGGCTGCCTATGACCAAAAAAGAGAAAGATCTAGCCCAGTGATTCCCAGCTTTAGTATGAGATCTCCACACACCTTCCTTCCCACCTTTTTAAGGTCAGCAGTTTCTTGGACCCCATACAGGATGGTATTTGCACTTTTACAAGTCAGCTCCACAGACAGAGCTGGCAGTGGTAAGGAGTCAAGAGCTCCTGGAAGGTACTCCACAGCTCACATGCTGGGGACCTCTCCCTGGGTAGAACTAGACCAGTGATGGACCCAGAAATCCAAAATTTCCAGCCCTTTCTTGAGTTCTTACAAGCAAGTGGTGCACTTTGCCACAGACTTGATTCCTTTAAGTGAAGTGAGAATGGTTCCGCTGACTGGAACCCTACTAAGTGAGCTTTTTGGTGGTGTTTAAAGTTAGTATATGGGAACAAAAATTAGTTTGTGATTAGAATTTACCAGGGAAATAAATTAAGTAGTTTGTGGTCGGATGGCTATTCAACACTTTGCCATTGAGCAAAGCGCCTACCAGACATGCACACTGAAGGGAGCTGAAACTCTGGCCGTTTGGGGGCAGAACACTTGGTCATCAGGGTTTCCTTAGGATTGATGGATCTGCTCCTGAGTTTCCGGTGGCTACTGATCTGTCTTTTAAATTACTGTTAGTTTAGTGTCATCATTAATTTAGTTTGTAGGGTGTTTGTTTTACCCTGCGGTGGTTAATGATGCATATTTGCCTCAGCAGTGTTCTGACCTATAATTTTTCCAGGAACCAGAACTGTGAAACATGTGCTCCCTAAAATCTGGTTTTTGTTGTTTGGTTTTCTTTGTTTTCTCCAGAGAAAAGTGGAATAAGTGGGACCCAAGTGCCTTCCTTTACTGGAGTAGGTGCAGCTGGCCAGGAAGGGTGGTCTTTAAGTTTGGAGGCAGGAAGAAAATACTAATTAGGATTTCTATTTCTTTTTCTTTTGGGATCATATTCCTTAATTTTCTCTGCTTTGTAGTGTACACAATAGTAGGTTTTCAAAACTTTTTATGCTATCAAAATGTTAAGAGACCACAGACAAGTGATTCAGAAGCAGGTTTTGGGGTCCCAGTCTGATTGGGGAGTCAGGTTAGTCTTTGAGAGGGATGATTTGAGTTAGTGAGTACTAATTCCAGAGCAGCCACTGACTTGCTGTGTGTCCTTGGCTGCACCACAACCTTTCTGGGCTGAAGTTTTTCATCTGAAAACTGAAATGCTCCTGGAGGCTTCGATGGGCCTTCCAGCTCTGCTGTCTGTCATGGGGCTTCTGTGAGTCTGATGGTGGACACCAGGCTTGCCTGAGCCAAAGCGAGTGGGAAGAAGGTGTCAGGGATGACAGCAGGCTGAGGGGTTCCCAGGCCAGGCCTTGGTCCCTCAGGGTTTGCCTCAGGGGGCCTTTTACCCTGCCTCCAGGTGCGCCAAGATGCTGCTGGAGGCAGGAGCGACCGTGAACTTGGCAGCGGGGGAGAGTGAGGTGACACCCCTACATGTGGCGGCGGTGCGTGGCCTGGAGGAGCACGTGGCTCTCTACCTGGAGCACGGCGCCGACGTGAACCTGCGCACCAGCCAGGGCGAGACGGCCCTGAACGCCGCATGTGCGGGGGCCGAGGGCCTGGACAGCCGCCAGCAGCACCAGGCCACTGCGCGCCGGCTCCTGGAGGCCGGGGCTGATGCCCGGGCGGCCGGGCGCAAGCGCCACACGCCACTGCACAATGCCTGTGCCAACGGCTGTGGGGGCCTGGCCGAGTTGCTGCTGCGCCACGGGGCCTCCGCCGCAGTCCCCAATGGGGCGGGCCACACACCCATGGACCTCGCGCTGCAGGCCGTCCAGGATGCCCCCAGCTGGGAGCCCGAGGTCCTCTTTGCCGCTCTGCTGGACTATGGGGCCCAGCCTGTGCGCCCTGAGGTGCGTAGGGAGGGCCCGTGAAAGGAGGCTCCAGTTGGGTGGGAGAGCCTGAGGCTGGATTACCCTGCCGCCAGGAAGAGAGGCCAAGAGACTGGGAGCCCACTCTCTGTGCCAGGGGTCTGTCTCCATCTTGAGAAGCACCAGTGAGGGCTAAGGGGTAGGGTGTCCAAGGGAGGAAAAAGCCCCCAAGGAAAGTGGCTGGGGCCAGGAGATTGGAGCACACTTGAAGGTGGGGTAAACTGAGGCAGAGAAGAGGATGAGGAGGGATTCAGACTTTGGCCTCCCAAATTTTGGTGTGAGTAGGGCTTTGACCCAGGCAGGACATGGGTCTGCCCTTGGTTGGGAGAGGTATGGTGCCCCTGAGATCCTCTTTTGTTTTCTGGTCTGAGAACCTCTTTTGATTTCTAGATGCTGAGACACTGTGCCAACTTCCCTCGGGCCCTGGAAGTCCTGCTTAACGCCTACCCTTGTGTCCCATCCTGTGATACCTGGGTCGAGACAGTGTTCCCAGAGCTGTGGCAGGTATGTCCACACCTGGGGCACTGCTCCTTCCCAGGCTCTGGGGAGACAGAGAGCAAGGATGAGTCCCAGGTCTGGATGGGCTTCCCAGAGGCAAAAGCAGGAGGGACCCTGGGCCAGAAGATGCACAAAGTGAAGCCCCTGCGTTCCCGGGTACCCCTCCTCCTGGCAGCTCAGAACAACTTCTAACTGCACACACTCCTCTAGCCTCTCTCTTACCTGCATCAGTATAGACATTTATCGGGCATCTCTGACTCTGTGGGCACTGTGCTAGCACCTTTGGAGTGGGGGTGGGTGCAGACATGGCTGAGACCCTGCCCTGCAGTGTGGTCCCAGCTCCCATGATCCCTGCAGGGCCTCTCTGGCTCTGAATCTGAGTCTTCTGAGATGCACCAAATGCCCGGATGGGTACATGTTGCAAAATCCCAGGGCCTCACCACTAGGTCACTCCCAGATGGAAGGGCACAGTCAGGGTGTTGGGCCATCTGACCCTGTTCCACTCCCGGCCTAGGAGCATGAAGCCTTCTACAGCTCAGCCCTGCGCATGGTGAACCAGCCGAGGCGGCTGCAGCACCTGGCCCGGCTGGCTGTGCGTGCTCAGTTGGGTAGCCGCTGCCGACAGGCCGCCACCTGCCTCCCGCTGCCCCCGGTCCTCAAGGACTACCTGCTGCTGCGTGTGGAGGGGCGTATCCAGTGAACCCCATGCCAGGCTGCTCCCGGAGCTTGTTGTGCCACCTCCCCCTAACCCTGGAGGACCAGTCCCTGACCTTCTTGTCCACACTCTGCAAGTCCTCTGGGGCCAGCTCATCCCTCTCCTGAGTGACCTCCAGCCTGACCTGAACTTCAGCTCCTCTCTCCACTGGGAAGGTCTGCAGACTCAGCCTTTGCCTGCATCTTCCTCCTTTGCCTAAGTGGATGACAGCCCCTCCACCATGCAGTCCCCAAGCCAGGAGGAAGTGATCCTTGTTGCTCCCCTTCCCCTACCATCCATGTACCTGTTCAGCCTCCTAAGGAGTGACAGATTCTGCGACTAACTGCACTCTCAGTGCCCGACCTGCCTTTGTCACTTCAAGGAAGAACCTCACCTACTGGTCTTGAAACCCATGCCCTGCGAGGATGTTGGAACAGTCTTTGGGAATCACAACTCTGATCATGACCTTCAGTGGCTCCTCCCTACCTTCAGGCTAAAATCGAAACTCAGCAGGGCAGACAGCTTCCAGCCTCTGCCTTCGCCAAGCTCTCTGGCCTCCTGACCCCACCTTCTCCCTTCTGAGGCTCCTATAATCCAGCCTTAGCAAACTAGTTCCTGATTGCTGGATATGACCTGCTCCCCTTTGCTTCCAGGCGTCTGCATGTGCTGTTCCCTCTGCTTGATCTGCCCTTCCCACATTTTTTGCCCTGGTCAATGCTGATTTGATCCTCAAGACTCAGTCCAAACGCACTATCTCCGCAGAGCCTTTTTTGGACAATCCCAGCAAGTAGCTATCTTTGGTATCGTACTTATTTAATTAGGAACCTGTGTCTGCCTCAAGCATGCGGAGACTGAGACTATATTCTTTGAACAGGCATTTCAGTAAATGATGGTTGAGGGAGGAATGAAAGCATGATGCCCGAGACCCATTTATGGTTGTGTCCCCCCCCAGGCTAGTCATGCACGCTTTTTTTTTTTTTTTCATACATACTGGGCGGGGAAAGGGATGGGAAGTGTTAAATTTGGGAATTTGAGATTTAAAAATGTTAGCCACTATATATAAAAATAGATTTTTTAAAAAAGTTTCTTCTTATAGCACAGGGAACTATGTCCAAATCTTGTAATAACCTTTAATGAAAAAAATGAAAATGAATGTATTTATGTATATGCATAACTGGGACATTGTGCTGTACAGCAGAAATTGACACATTGTAATTGACTGTACTTCGATAAAAAATGAAAATAAAAATAAACATACTGGGGATTGAACCCAGGACCTTGTACATGCTAACTAAGCACCTACTCTACCAATGAGCAATTCTCACCCAATGCATGCTATCTGAAACAATGGTCACTGCACTTGTGGTCTTTGAGAATCAGTGACAGGAGGACAAGCCATCAACCGTCCCCCCTACTCTCACTTCGTTCTCTGGACCCAAAGTCAAAAGTACCACCATTCATTTTTAAGAGAAAGCTTTTCAAGCCAAGCCAGTTTTTATGAAGGCAAATAAATTATTCGTGCACAGAACCAAAGCATGGGTGTTGTTAGGTTGAAATTTTATTTCCCCTTCTTTGTGGTTCCCAAGTTTTCTGCACTGAGCAATTGTTACTCTTGTGACAGGAAAAAAAGGTATAAGAGCAACACAAGAACCTCCCAGGTCCTGAGTTTGTCCTGCCCACTGCAGGTGGGAATGGAATAGGGGGCTCCCAGCAGCCTGTTCTCCCGTCCTTTTGCTGAGGGGCCCTGGGCTCTCCGCTGTCATTACCATTTGGAGTCACACTGCAGATTCGGGTCAGGAGTCCTGAGTTGGGTCAGGAGTCCTGAGTTGGCCTCCAGCAGCTGTTGCCCAACATCCCCTCCTCTGTGGAGAGTTGTATCTGTGGAGATTCCTTTTCACCCAACACGAAAAGACAATCTTTTACCTCGTTATGGGCAACAGCAACCTCTCCTTTCTGGATGAAATTTTTGCTTTAGTTTTCACAGAGAGAAGAGAGGGAAATCCTCTCTAGTCTTGGGTCCAAGCTGGAAGCCTCACTCTCAGGGGAGGATGGTGAGCTGTCCTCCGTTTTACAGCAGGCAGACTCCAGGGACCGAGGCCTTTTTTATTTAAATTTTTTTAAAATGTTAATTTTTTTAATGGAAGTTCTGGGGATTGAACCCAGGACCTCATGCATGCTAAGCACATGCTCTACCAATGAGCTATACCTTCACCGCATTACATTTACAACTACAAAATACTCCTTTAAAAAAAAACAAAAGATGCATATGAATATGTATATTATTCGGGGGTAGGAGAAGATTTTCCAGGGTAAAAGCATAAAAGAAAAGACTAATACATCTGGGTACAGAAAAAAATTTAAATTTGGTTGTAAAAGCACTGAATCGTTAACTCAAGAAAGAGGCAAAATATTCAAAAAAGTATCGGTCACTAAAAGATTTCATTTCCTTGATTTGTGAGGGCAGGAATGACATCTTTTTTGTTGTTATTGGGGGAGGTAATTATGTTTATTTATTTATTCTTCTAGGAAGTACTGGGGATTGAACCAGAGCCACATGCATGCTAAGCATGTGCTTTACCACTTGAGCTATGCCCTCCCCTCGACATCTGTTTTATTCACCATCCTTGACTTGGTGCTTGTACAGTGTCTTGCAGAGAGTGGACACTCAAACATCTGTCAAATCAGTGAATGAGCATGCTCGACCCAGTAGTCAGGGAAATGCAACTTAACAATACAATATTATTCACCCACTAGATTGGGAGAAATTTTAAACTTGATAATATGCTGTGCCTATGAAGATATGAGGGAGACATGAGCTCTTGCTCATCCTGTGGGTGGGAAAGGAAATGGCCTCTTTCATCGGCAATCGAACTGGGTCTTTAAACATTGCTCCCCAGTTACACAAGAGGTGGGTGGGTACACACAAAAATATTCATCCCAGCATTGCTTGCAACAACTCCACATGTGGGAAATGGTAAGTAAATCCACACTATGGAATACAATTTGGCCCTTACAAAAGGTAGTACCCACAGCAGGAGAAAACGGGAGCGATTCCAAGTGACCACCATATGTACTGCCTTAGAAAGGTTACCAAGACTGTTGTTAAGGAGAAAAAACAGGTTGGAATACAAGATGCACAGCAAACAAAACCAAACGCCATGATTGCAGATGAACAGAAAAAGGCCTGGAAGGCAGATGCCCAAGAATCCTCCTCTGGGGAAGGGAGAGGAACTGTACCAGTGGGGCTTTTTACGGTCTGCATTTGAATTTTTTTTACAGAGAGATGTACTCAGGGATCCTCTGATATTAAAAAAAAAATTTTTTTTTGCAGGGAAGAAAAGGCAAAAGGCCTAAACTATTCATTTACAAGGTGGTTGATGGAAAACAACAAATGTGCAAACTCACTGGTAATCTGATGAATGCTAATGAAAGGAACAGACATCCTTTGCCTATCAAATCGGCAAACATGAAACACATAACATCTGTCAGTCATGGAAGGAGCACTTTTTGTCTTTTTGTCAAAAGGATTTACTACAAACATATTTAGCTAAGGCAGCATCCAGGATTTACAGATACAGTCACCATTCTATAGGGAGCATAACTGCACATAAAGGTATAAAAATACCTAAATTCAATAGTTTAGGAAAAATAAACAGATAAGGAGCTAAGATCCATTAAAATACTCGGTTAATTTTTAATTATTATTATTATATTAAGAGATTAGCTTTGGGTGGTGATATAATCCCAACTGCAGGCTTCATTCTCTCCTTGATTTTCCTCTTATGATTGCTCCAACCTCAAAAACTTCAGCCTGAAAGTCCCCCTTTCAAAACACCCTTAACTTAACTGTATCCTGTCCTTGGCTGTACACATGCACAAAACGCATCCCTTATCAGACTTAACCTCTGCTTTTTCCATCCATTCATCCCAGCTGTTAAGCACTCCAAGTCTATTCCTATCCCTAGCCAATCCTTCTTCCTTCCCATTCATCCATTTTCCTCACTGCCATGGCTGTCTTTTAGACCTCACCTAAGGGGACCTAATTAAACTTAAAAGCTTTTGCACAGAAAAGGAAACCATTGACACAACAAAGAGACAGCCTACTGAATGGGAGAAAATATTTGCAGATGAGATGACAGATAAGGGGGTTTAATATCCAAAATATATAAACAGCTCACACAACTCAACATCAAAAAAAAACAGATGACCTGATTAAAAAATGGACAGGCTTGAATACACATTTCTCCAAAGAAGACATACAGATGGCCAGTGGGCACATGAAAAGATGCTCAACATTGTTAAACATCAAAGAAATGCAAATCAAAACCACAATGAGATATCACTTCACACCCTGTCAGAATGGCTATCATCAAAAGGATCACAAATAACAAATGTTGGAGAGGATGTGGGGAAAAGGGAACCCTCATACACTATTGGTGGGAATGTAAATTGGTGCAGCCATGGTGGAAAACAGTACAGCCATTCCTCAAAAAGCTAAAAATAGAACTACCAGCAACTCTGTATATAAAAGAAAACAAAAATACTAATTCAAAAAGATACATGCACCCCCAATGTTCATAGCAGCATTATTTACAATAACCAAGATATGGAAACAAAGTATCCATCAACAGATGAATGAATAAAGAAGATACACACACACACACACACACACACACACACACACACACACACACACACACAATGGAATACTACTCAGCCATAAAAAAGAATGAAATGCTGCCATTTGCAACAACATAAATGGACTTAGAGAGTATTATGCTTAGTAAAATAAGTCAGACAGAGAAAGACAAATACTGTATGATATCATTTATATGTGGAATCTAAAAACTAAAACAAATCAGTGAATATAACAAAAATGAAATAGACTCACAGATATATAGAGAACAAACTAGTGGTTACCAGTAGGGAGGGGGAAGTGAGGGGCAAGATAGGGGTAGGGGATTAAGAGATACAAACTACTACACAGAAAATAAAAAAGCAACAAGGCTATATTGTATGGCCCAGGGAATCTAGTCAATATTTTATAATAACTATAAATGGAGTATAACCTTTAAAAATTGTGAATCACTGTGTTGTACACCTGAAACTTCTATAATATTGTAAGTCAACTATACCTCAATTAAAAAACGAAAGACTTCTCTGGCCAGCAGACAAGAACTCTCAAATTCCCAATCTCTCCCCAACTTCTCTGAATCCTTCCATCATTCGTTTAATACATTTTTATCAATTACCTGCTGCATGCAGGCACTGAGTAGACTCTGGGGATACTAGAATAAGAAAAAACAAAACACATGCCTTCAACGTATTTGGTAAGACAGAAAAATGAAAAGTGAAAAGTAATGTGGTAAATACTATGGCAGAAGTCAGTCCATGCAGCCTGGGGAATACAAAGTGGATATCCCTAACCTCAAATGGATGGCTCTGGTACCTGGGGCAGCGGGCAAGTCGGATTTCCCACATCCTCCGCAGGGCAAGCCCAGTCACTGGCTCAGCCCTCAGTGCTCCAGAGGCCACTGCTCAGCCATTTGTTCCCTTCTCAGGTTGCTTTTATCTTCACATTCTCCCCTTCTCCTCTGTTCTTTCCTCTTAGCTGATAAACATCTTCAGGATTCTCACAACTCTCAAAACTTCCTTGTGCCTCTCTAGACTCTACCCTACTTTTTAGGGATGAGAACACTAAGGGATGCTCTTCACACTGCTGGTGGAAATGGAAATAGGTACAACCTCCTAGAGGACAATGCTACTGTGCCATGTATCAAAAATCTTAAAAAGGTGAGCACTCTTTGACCCAGCAATTCCAGTTCCAGGAATTTATCCTAGAGAAAAAAAATCATGGATGTGAACAAGTATCTGTCATCAAAGATGTAAACACTATTTAAAAGCAAGGCAGTGAAAGCAAAACAATTTAAGAGGGGAAGGTACAGCTCAGTGGTAGAGTGTGTGCTTAGCATGCACGAGGTCCTGGGTTCGATCCCCAGTACCTCCATTAAAAAAATTAAATAACAGTAAATAAATAAACATAATTACTACCCCCCCCAAAAAA